TGAGCATCAGATTTACTACATCTTTGAAAAGGGAGTAACTAGAGAACTCAATTATAAAAATCTTTTAAGGACTTTTAAATAAAACAATAAAATAAAAAAACCATATTATAGTAGTTATTAAAAAAAACCACTACTACAGGTGATTAAGCCATAATAGAATGGAAATATATGCTGAATTATAGATGAAAAGTATGATTATTACAGAACTAGTGTCAAGTGAACGTTTTTAGTTAATTAAAATGTCCCTGGATAGTATGGTATTACATTGCATTCCATTCCATTATTTTTCCATAGGGAGATCAACAGTGGTAGAATTTGTCTTACAAATTTAGTATACGTTATTGCATTGTAAACAGTCGGATTTGCATTGGGGTATTTTATTTAGTTGTTAGATTTCTATCCTGCCTTTCTTATGGAATCTCACGGTAGCATACATAGGGCTCCCTACTGTTTGTCTCACCACAATAACCCTGTGAGGTAGATATAGAGATAAGGTATAGAGGAAAAAATAGCATTCTTTAAATATTGATGAAGTTCTCGATTTATACTTTAAAAATGCACATGATTTATAGATTACAGTTCTGGAATGAACTAAAAATGAACAGTCAAGTGTAAAAAAAATACTTATAAACAATGTGGAATTGAGAATATATCTTACTCAAAATCCAGAATAATATGCATATAATTTTGTGCTTAGTTTTTGCTAATAAAAAGTTCAGTACTGATTTTGGTTACTGATCAAGCTACCTTGAGAGCCTTTTGGATAAGAAAATGAGATATAAATTAAAACAGAGCAACAGAGTTGGCATCTTTCCTGCAATCTATAGTCATGCATTACCTTGAAAATTCATTAGCTTTCATAAAAAAATTACTACTGAAAAATAGAGGTACTTGTATAAAATATGAAAAGATTATGTTTTGAGGTAAGGAAACATGAATTTTACAAGAAAAATAGTTTGTAATGTATCCAGTGAATTACCTTATTGTAGTTTTCTCACTGCAGAATGGGTGAGCTGTTTTTAATTTTTTTTTTTTGTATTTTATATTTTTTTGTATAGTAATAGGAAAG